AAATCGTTAATATTGTATCATCGCCCTTTTAAAGACGTCCATCACTAAAACAACAGATTTATTTACCTTTACAGTTGTTTACAAGCTATCTCTCTGATCGAAAGCAAGTAGCAAACAACTGGTCACACATTCAGTAATGAAGAGACAGTTGAATATGGTTTACCACAGGGCACAGTGTTAGGTCCAATCTTGTTTACATTTACATAAACAGCATTATAACTTCCTCTTCTTCATATGGTCAAGTGTTTAGCAGGTGATCCGGCAGTGTTGAATGACGATAACTCTTGGAAAAATCTGAAAATTAAAGCAGAGCGGATTGATTATTTTGCTCATAAACCTTTGACCTACGAAAAAACATTCTTTATGCCTTTTTCTGATACAGTACGTTGCCTACCTCAGTATGAACAACTTTTAATAAACAAAAGTATATATTCAACCAATGAATACTTAGGTGTCTACCGTTACAAATACCTTACGACAATCCTTATATCGCTAAAAAATCTCACAGATTACATGCACCTGAAAATGTTGTATTAATCATGAGCTGAGTTACGTGATACGTTATTTCGAGGTGGAGGAGTGCCGCATTTTGCCATTTGCAGCCTCTGGATATAGTGCAAAAAAATGTTGAAAGTAATATCTGGCAAAAAAATCACTTATCCTTCTGATAAATTATTTCCAGGGACTGGGGTGTTTGACCTAATGCAGCTGTTTCTGCATCAACTGATTCAATACATGTATAAACATGAAAACATCTTCAATAAAGTTAATCATACTTATGAAAATTAAAAGAATTGTAAGCTTTTGATGCCACACCTACCTATCATGTAATATACTAAGTGACATATAAATCCGAACACCCAGTTTAAATGGTTTTATTTTAATAAAATTTTGTATAAGTACTTAATGAAGCATAATAAGTAAATGATAAACATTTCAAAATAATTGCACTGCTTTAAAGCCCTTTGACCTTTAATAATGTATGGATGCACCCTGATGTGCTACGCATTCTCCAACGCGCCTAGGCATGCTTCTGATCAGGTGGTCAATGTCCTCCTGTGGTATCTCATTCCAGGCAACCACCAACTCCTCTCGAAGTGCTTCTAGAGTCTGAGGAGGACGTTGCAAATTGAGCAATCTCCTACCCATCATATCCCACACGTGCTCAATTGCGGATAAGTCGGGAGATCTTGGTGGCCATGGTAACAATGTGACATCATTATGTTGAAAGAAGTCTATTGTGACTCTTGCAACATGTGGTCGGGCATTATCTTGTTGGAAAGTTGGATCTGCCAGGGTGTCAAGATAGGGTAAAAGATGGGGTTCTAGAACTTCGTGGATATAACGCTGCGCGTTCATGTTACCTCTGATGAAGATTAAAGGTGACCTGGAACCATAAGCTATAGCACCCCAAACCATAACTCCAACAGTGTGATGAACATGTCTTTCAACAAAAAACTGTGGATTCCTCCTTTCACCCTGGCACGACCATCGTGCGTGCCTAAACAAAATCGAGACTCGTCACTAAAGACAATACTGTTCCATTCCTGATCCCAGAGTGACCGTTGTCTGCACCACTCAAGGCGATTACGTCGGTGTTCTCGAGTTAAACGGAGGACCCAGTGTGGCCGGTATGAAAACAAGCCAAAACTTCTCATTCGTCGATAAACACTTCGCATGCCAATAGGTCTTCCGTGTTCTGCAAACCATTCATTTGCAATGGACCTGGTAGCGGAGAAACGGTCCCTTAAGGCCAATAATCTTAGGCGGCGATCTTCACGGTCTGTTGCTCTACGGCGGCGTCCAGTGCCCCTTGCTCTTTGCGTACGGCCTTCTCGAAGCCATGCCTGACAACACCTAACCACAGTGTCTACACTTCTTTGCACTCTAACTGCAATTGCCCGAAAAGAAAGTCCAGCTTCCCGAAGTCCCACTATACGGCCCCTATCAAACTCACTAAGTTGACGAAATCGTACAGGTCTCCGTACTCTAGGCATCGTAACCGATCGTAAAGGATGTCAAGAACCAAAATCCGCCAACGTTGATTCTTTACTGCGGCTGAAATATTCATTTTTAGAGCGTTAGTGAATTAAAAAAAAGCAGTATAAAAACCGGAATGTCCAACTGATAAGGCTGAAAATTTTTTCACTTGTTATTTACAGTAAGATAAATACATTCACCAACTTTTATTAAAATAAAACCATTTAAACTGGGTATTCGGATTTATATGTCACTTAGTATATTTATAATTGTTTGCAATACATGTACCGTATGTATATTGATAACATAAACTCGTCGTCTTTGATTAAATCTTTACTTAAAAAGTATATTTTTTTAACTGGTTGACAAGGGATAAGAGAGCTAGTAGAAATTGTTTACAATGCTAGTGTCACTCCTCACTCCATACTTAGTGAGCTAGTTACAATTTATATGTGCCAACATCTCGCTCATAGCAAAGCTTAATATTAGAATCACAAAAATAAAATTTGCCCGTGAACGATCAACCATTTTTAATTCAACGGGTTTCACATGGTATTTCAGAAATGTTGATTGGCTTCCAAAGCATGTTTATCTAAAACACTGGAATGGATTATGTCAAAGTCACGTATTATGTTTTCTTTCTCACGTTTGTTACACATTTAAACCTTATTTTCCTCACCAGTAAATTGTACTGAACAGAATAAACGTTATTATTATTATTTTGATAAGATTCATAAGGTCTCGCAATATTTCGATATTTTCAAAGATACTTCTTGGTTGTAAAAGGTAGATTGATTAATTCGGCTTTTGAATACGAGCAGATCGCGTACCTATCGGTCGCGGCTGCTGCTCGCGTCGGGCGCCGACCGCGATGTCTGTTATGGAATCATACGTATTTCTGCCGTGCATAGTGTTTTCTATGCTCTGGCCGTACTACCACGGTGCCACGTCTGTAAGAGGTAGGTATCGAGGGAGGCGACGTTTTCAGAACCACTACCGGTAGGGCAGTTAAAAATGTCTATGGACATATTTTTTTTGTGCTGAAAATATTCCTTTATGTACTGATAAGGGCGTTGCGTGGTAGGTGCATACTCAACCTACTTGACGCTATTTTTTTATCAAACAGAAACCCCTCCCTTTCACTAAAAACAGCAATTCGGTGCGACAATACGTGCTGTATGGATATTTTCTAGCTTTGGACAAGTACAACTAAAATTGAGTGCGATCTGTATAAGTTATTCTTTAGACAAGCCTTGAAGGTTTAAAATTCAGGGTGTCCGCAGAGTTGGGGTTGTCCTTTTCAGAAACAACTACCCTTGAAATAACAAAGGTAATGTGTAGTGAAACCAGGGCGACCAACTAAAAAAAATAAAGGAAAAAGTACTCACTCTCCAGTTGACGATAAGGGCTACGTACGTCTCTGCCCGAAATCATACCGCTCCAACAGAAAATGAAATCAGGTGATGCGCTACCGAGCAGACGCAGGCGGTGGTGCAGACCACGAACAGAGGTAACAAATATGACGGCGTTGCCGCGTTTTCAGTTTTTTGGTAAACGTACTTTATAGGTATTGTTCGAAGTTATCGCCGTTTGATTCAAAAACACAGGTGCGTGCACGACGTAGGCAAGCATCGGTGCAGGCTTTGAGAATGGAGTCCCTCCCCCGAATGAAAGCACCAGCTTGTTCAATTCTGAGACGAAATTCGTCAACCATATGCACTTCAGTTTTGTACACTAAGCGTTTCATTTCTCCCCAAAGAAAAAAATCACATGGTGTTAAGTCTGGAGATCGCGGAGGCCACGCTACGGGTCAATTACATCCGATCCATCTATTCGGAAATAATTCATTCAAAAACTCACGCACTTCGCGTCTAAAATGGGGCGGTGCACCATCGTGCAGAAACACATTGATTGTCTTACACTTAATGGCCCATCTTCTAACAAGGAAGGCAAAATGTTGCGTAAAAAGTCTAGGTATTGCATCCCGTCCAATCGATTTGGGAGAATAAATGGTCCAATGAGCATACCGTTCACCATGCCAGCCCAAACATTCACCGAAAATGTTTGTTGAAAATGTGCCCGACGGACAGCGTGCGGATTTTCTACTGACCAAACATGAGTGTTGCGAAAGTTATTCACCCCATTACGCGTGAACGTAGATTCGTCTGTCACCAATAGGCACTTCAAAAAGTCCGGATTATTGTCATGTTGGTGCAACAACCACTCACAAAACCGCACTCTTGCTGGAAAATCGTCAGGTTGAAGGGCTTGTACACGTTGGACGTGAAACGGATACAGCCCCTCTCCACGCAGCGTTTGCCACACTTTGGTTTTTGATACTTGCACTTCTCTAGCCACATCTCTAGTGCTTGTTGAGGGATTCTCGTCTACGAGATTCAGTAGTTCTTCCTCAACTTGCACCATTCGTGGTTGTCTAGGCCTCCCACTGTGCCCACCTCGAAATTCCTCCAAATGGCCCGTATCCCTGACTCTCTGGACCAGGTACACAAACCTGCGGGGCCTTGGATGATGTCGTCTAGGGAAACGATCTGCATACACTCGCGAAGCCTCTGTAGCATTTTGAAGACATTTGCCATAAATTAACAACATATCAACGAGTTCATTATTGGTGTATGAGTGTGCCATTATTATTTTTTTTGAAACGCAATCGATTATACGGGTTCGTTTACCTCTACACGCGTGACCGTAACCGTCGGTTGAAGGTTGCATACTGGCCTGACACACTGACCCCGACCCAGTTCTATCGTCGGGTTGAGCCAGTGACCTTGTACCACTCGGTGATGTCGCGGGTCGCGGCTACAGGACGGTATTCAGATATTTTTGATGTTGCACAGCCCTTTATCTCGGTTCCCTTAAGACATTGGTGTATATGATACTAAGAAAAATTGCTTATGTTTTCAAGATCTACTCGTCGTGTAAAGGAAAACCCCAACTTTGCGGACACCCTGTATAGATGCAGACATCAATATCAAATGGATTAACATGACTATTTTTTACAGACCGACAGAGAGAACGTGAAAATAGCCAGGAACTCTAAGGCTGAGGCGAAGCATCAAAATGGCCGCCAGGATAATAAAAACGACACTAAGAACAAGGAAAACGGAGTCGGGAGCCTTCACCATGAGGTGAAGATAATCGATCCATCTGAATTGTTGAGGCCTGAGCCGAAATTCGCACAGAAACCAATTAGCCATTTCAGGGACTATTCTGTAGATGAAAACGATCCAATCAAAGAAAGGGTCCGCAAGACATATGAGGACATGCATACCAACCAGACCGTGCAGTTTGTAAGAGGTTGGTACTTTTTCTATTTTCCTCCACTTTTCATTTATTGGACAAATTATGTCCAAGTTTTCTTAAACAATTTTAAAAAACGCCATCTGAGGAACTATAGCATGCATAAAAAACACTGGAAGAACAAGATATCCTAACATGCATACCTAATATCACATTAATATATCTTGTTTAAAAAAAATCATTTTAATTATCGCTTACCTAAATAAAGAGTTTGAATTATAAAGTACATCCCAAATAACAATTATGACTCCTATTAGAGTTGCAAGAATGATTATACAGTATTCCTTACACAGCATTGTATACTGTAAGAACATTGGCAAAACCCTCTTAGAACAGCTATGCAAGCGGAATGAGCACACCTAATAGGACACTTCAGTCATTTAAGAGGTTGTATAAGTGCTGCAGGTAACAGTTATACAACAAAAGTGTAAGCCTCTTGCAGCCGCTATAGGACATTTGCGTCAGTGCAAGATTCAGTTTTTGTCAACTATACAACTATTCTGTTACGTGGTTCTACTTTATTGCAGCCAAACTAATTCTTATGTATTGCATAGACGAAGTGAAGAATATATAACTAACACATTACAGTCATCTTATTTACTTACATATCGGTCATTGTGAATTTCATACACAGCTATGTGATAAACCTCTACACTGTGATATAGGCCTATTGAATTAGTTGCGCAGCAAATTTTATTGTGATTATCGTGCAAAGTAGTTACGCAATTTGTACGGGCTTCGTATTTGATCCATATTTTAATGATGATCAAAAGTATGTTTAGATTTTTAAGATAAAAAACTGAACTTATTTGGGTTAAATCTTCCACAAATCCTATATTTAGACACAATTACACTAATGTTTACCACTTTATATCTGTAATTTCGAACTGAAACATAATTATTTAATATTAACAGGAGGAATAAATGTTTGCCCAATATGGCGGGTGGTTGTGTATAATCATGGCATCGTCCATGTTGTCTTTAGTTTATTAGAATATTTTGGTGTTGCCTGCAGGTGTTATACAAAAATTTGACAAATGTCTGAAATGAAATAACGACAGAGTCGAATGATTTAGCCAGAATTTGTACCAGATCTATATCTTCTGCTTGAACAGTTGATAAAACCTTTTGAACCAATATGCAAATATGACAGCAGAAAGTTAGATTATGGTGAAGTTGTATACCAATATATTTAGCATATGTACAGCCTTTAACAGTTACGAAACAACAGTTGTATAAGTGCTTCCGTTGGGAGCAATTTGTTGGCTAAACTAGTAAATTGCACAGCAAAACAACAAGGCTCCGGTTTGTTTTATAAACGTTACCATGGATGCCACAACACAACCATTTTGACTAACGTGCAAATATGTCGTATAAAATAGTTGTATAAACGTTTATGCAACAGTTAAAAATTTGCCCTATAACGGGTTGTATACCTATGCTATAAGAATATTTTAAACACCTCATTTTAGAGCAAATATGTTGAAGAAAGCAAATTTGCATTCCACACAATATTAAGCCAGCATTTTGGTGTTCAGGCAACAACAATAGAGAGCTTTTATGGCTGAACGGTTCTTTTACCAAAAGCTTATAACACTACTTTGCTAGTTGGGATTCTGTGCTACCCTGTAGATATGTCCAAAAACTGTTCCAATTCATGAAACTGATACTGATACCTATTGACTAAGTCAATAACTAGAAATCGATAAATTTGCGATTAAAATAATTAACAGTCCCATAAAAAGTATAAAGGCAGAGATCTGTCAGATGGACTATGATATTCTCTTGTATTTTTCGGCACTCAATCCGAATCCTAGATTTCTAGAATCCACCCACAGGTTCAAAAACTATCTCTAGGATGGATGGAAGTTGAGTTTTGAGTGCCAGATGCTGGTACATGCTACTGTCATGTATTCTTCAACAGTGAATCGGAATTTAAAGTAAAAAAATCCACTTTCTTTGAATTCACCCCCGGCGTTAATGATAGGCCTGATGCATTTTTTTGTGATAATCTCTGGAGCTCGATGGTTTTGACAATATCTACTCGGGTTAGGCCATACGTGAAGAACCTCGATATATATCTCAAAATCAAAAATTTTTACAATATCAGTCCGGGAGCTCACAGTACAGCATCTGGCATCCGAAAATCAATTTTCCACCCCATTTCCCCATTTATTTTTTGTGGCGATGTGTTATTTTTTATTACCACTCAGATAGTTGTTCCTTTAAAACGCCGTCACTGGAAAGTACCTTTTCAACAAAGTGATGTATTTTCGACGATATCCGTATAATGTAGTTTTTTACAATAATATTCCCATTAAAAATATTTTCAAATGATCGAATTAACAGATGTGTTGTTGTTTATTACATAATAAACAATTATTTAAAAAGTAGCTCACTGACAACGACAAGCACAAGGTATAAAGTGCTAATTGAATTCTTTCTATAAGGAGGCTCAGTGGTCTAGGGGTATGATTCTCGCTTTGGGTGCGAGAGGTCCCGGGTTCAAATCCCGGCTGAGCCCGCTTTTTTCATGATTTTTTTCCTTTTTTATTATTATTATTTGATTATTTGCGAAATCATTAAATATTTTTTGTTTCATCATAAGTAATCAGTTTTGAGCGAAGCAAGTTCTTAGTGCTTAAATAATTTTGCATCATATTTCCTGGACTTTGTTAGCCTGCTTATGGCCGAAAGAGAATCGTTTTTCTACCTAGTACTTTGTACTTTGATTAATAAAATATGGCAACAATTTTATGTAAAAATTGCAACATTCAAATAAAACCAAAATTACGCAACAAAAACAATATAATTTTATTATGCGAGATAGGACGTCTCGTGATAAGAATTTATTTTCAGACCTGTGTCACGTGAATCAGTACGGGTTATCAATACTGGGATGATAAGGATTATGAAAACAGATGTTACGTTTTTCCTTTCACGTATATTAAGACCATGCTCGATTTAAATCTGTTTTCTAAAACTAAAAAGTATTGTTCTTTACCTATGTACCAAGGGAGTATTCAAGAATTCGGAGACTATTGTACCTTAAGACGTTACTATGTTTGACAAGGTCTTCCTCTGATATACATTAAAGAGGACATACTCTCTTGAAGTTATGACGTTGATCGAGATACTTGAAATGATATATCATTGTTTCATATATCTTTATCTTTATTATCCACTCAGATACAGAATAGTACATGCGGTGAAAAAAAGCTATATAATATAAATGAAATGTATAAAAATATAAGTAAGAATCAATATATACTAAGTGACATATAAATCCGAACACCCAGTTTAAATGGTTTTATTTTAATAAAAGTTGGTGAATGTATTTATCTTACTGTAAATAACATGTGAAAAATTTTTCAGCCTTATCAGTTGACATTCCGGTTTTTATACTGCTTTTTTTAATTCACTAACCCTCTAAAAATGAATATTTCAGCCGCAGTAAAGAATCAACGTTGGCGGATTTTGGTTCTTGACATCCTTTACGATCGGTTACGATGCCTAGAGTACGGAGACCTGTACGATTTCGTCAACTTAGTGAGTTTGATAGGGGCCGTATAGTGGGACTTCGGGAAGCTGGACTTTCTTTTCGGGCAATTGCAGTTAGAGTGCAAAGAAGTGTAGACACTGTGGTTAGGTGTAGTCAGGCATGGCTTCGAGAAGGCCGTACGCAAAGAGCAAGGGCCACTGGACGCCGCCGTAGAACAACAGACCGTGAAGATCGCCGCCTAAGATTATTGGCCTTAAGGAACCGTTTCTCCACTACCAGGTCCATGGCAAATGAATGGTTTGCAGAACACGGAAGACCTATTGGCATGCGAAGTGTTTACCGATGAATGAGAAGTTTTGGCTTGTTTTCATACCGGCCACACTGGGTCCTCCCCTTAACTCGAGAACACTGACGTAATCGCCTTGAGTGGTGCAGACAACGGTCACTCTGGGATCAGGAATGGAACAGTATTGTCTTTAGTGACGAGACTCGATTTTGTTTAGGCATGGTCGTGCCAGGGTTAGAAGGCGACGTGGTGGAAGGAGAAATCCACAGTTTTTTGTTGAAAGACATGTTCATCACACTGTTGGAGTTATGGTTTGGGGTGCTATAGCTTATGGTTCCAGGTCACCTTTAATCTTCATCAGAGGTAACATGAACGCGCAGCGTTATATCCACGAAGTTCTAGAACCCCATCTTTTACTCTATCTTGACACCCTGGCAGATCCAACTTTCCAACAAGATAATGCCCGACCACATGTTGCAAGAGTCACAATAGACTTCTTTCAACATAATGATGTCACATTGTTACCATGGCCACCAAGATCTCCCGACTTATCCCCAAATGAGCACGTGTGGGATATGATGGATAGGAGATTGCTCAATTTGCAACGTCCTCCTCAGACTCTAGAAGCACTTCGAGAGGAGTTGGTGGTTGCCTGGAATGAGATACCACAGGAGGACATTGACCACCTGATCAGAAGCATGTCTAGGCGCGTTGGAGAATGCGTAGCACATCAGGGTGCATCCACACATTATTAAAGGTCAAAGGGCTTTAAAGCAGTGCAATCATTTTGAAATTTTTATCATTTACTTATTATGCTTCATTAAGTACTTACAAAATTTTATTAAAATAAAACCATTTAAACTGGGTGTTCGGATTTACATGTGACTTAGTATAAATATAACAATTCATATAGTTGTTCAATTCCATCTTTACGTACTCAAGGTGGTACATGGGCGCCAACTGAGAATGCGATGTGCTGTCTCTGGGAACCTATCAATCGCAGAGGCAAAAACAGTTATTACTAAAACGGCTAAGAGAAAAACCTGGAAAATATTTTCAAGTTTCTGAAATGGCCGCTAGGCGGCGAAACTGCAATCTTGAGTCTAAAAAAGTTATGTGTCTGTGAACCTAACCGACTAGCCTAACAAAAAACACCTGATCTTCAAATTCGAGGATAACCTGATCCTTTTTTGTTAGACAATTTTTGCT